AGCTGGCTGGTTGGCTGGCTGGCTGGCTGGTTGTCTATCTGTCTATCTATCTATCTATCTATCTATCTATCTATCTATCTATCTATCTATCTATCTATCTATCTATCTATCTATCTATCTATCTGTTGTTGTGAAAAAAGAGTTTGATACCTTGATTGATATGGTGCATCCTTCCAACATGTGAATAAAAAAATCGTGTTCTCTTGACGCTCAAGCTTTGCAATTAAAAATAATACGACCTCTGAAAAGAATTCTGTTATTGTCTGTATCACCTTTGTGACGTCATTTTCTGAGACTTGCTGTATAATATGTATTAAGTTTCTGTGCACCCTGGAGCACTGTTTTTGAGCAGCGGTAAGATGGTTTTGGGATGGATTTTACACCCTTTTCAAACGCTGTTAGATTATTTAAGAAGCGGGCAGTCCAAATTAACGCAGCTGTTTTCCCTGACATTTGAGCTTAGAGGGAGGAGAGTTAAAAATAATATGTAAATAGCCATATCATGACAACTCATAATACAACTGGTCATGTCAAAGAACACCCGTGATAAGGATTGGAACCGGGGTCATCCACGATGTATGATAGGCCGTGTGTGACGAACCCGCACATAGTAAGTAGATCTAAGTTTATTCATTGTTTAAGGCCTTTGGCCCACGTCACATCACATAAAACACTTATTTGTTAAATAAAGATTCTATAATGAAAGAGTACAGGTTTTGAGGGTGTGGTGGCAGAGTGGTTAGTGCGCTTGTCTCCGAAGCGGAAAGTCCGGGTTCGAGCCTCGGTTCGGACAGATTTTTTTTCGCCCCCTCCTGCCCACCCAGCAGTAATGGGTACCTGACTTCCAATTGGGGAAGTAAAGGCGGCGTGGAAAGGAACTGGCCACCCTGCCACAATATGCCGAAGGCTCAGGAAGTTGTCTCACTAACAAGGCAATCCCCAATGTCTGGATCGGATGCGGGAACAATTTTACTTTAGTGGTTGTACACATATCTTTTATCATGGGTTAAACATTGCATATTTATGTCACTGGGCCGAGCCATGCTGGGAAGAAATTAACAACATTTATTCTTTTGATGGACGATATATGGACAAAAGAAAATAAAGTAAAATAAAATTCGTCTTCAATTTCATGAGAGCTACAGTTTTTAACAAGGCTATGACACTTGTTCCAATACCGTTGGAGGTTGATGATATTATACCCATCTGTTTCTTGAAACAAAATTGTAAAAGAGAATAAGTTATAGGCTACATGCGACAGACTTATTCCTCTATTCTATGCTCAGCACAGAATGATCAATAGGCCTACTTTTAAACTTGACTTAAAAATAATCTAGTGCTTCCCACACTTTGAGTAAACCAGGCATAACTAAAACCCAGAACCCGTAGGCCTACATAACTACATTGTAAGTAATACTTTTCCACGAATTTGTCAAGGGGATGAGAAAGAGCACGTAGCAAAATCAGGATTTCTCAGTCCAGTACCGCATTCTGCGACAAAATAAGCTTAATACAATGTTCTATGAATCTAGTTGTTGGTCCACTATATTTGTGCACAATGAAAATAAAAGAAGCCTAGATCTACAGTATCCGCAATGTGAAAATCAGAAGCGTACAACAAGTTGTTGTATCACAATTATTCCAGTTTCATTTGCAGGTGTGTGCAAATGTGCGTGTGCGAGTGTTCGTATGTGTATGTATGTATGTGTGTGTGTGTGTGTGTGTGTGTG